TATAGGCTAATATAAGTTTTGCTTGGCGATTTCGCTTCGATAGTTGCTTCTTCGAAAATACAGTTACTTCAGCTGTCGATCTAGCGTCGATCCGTTACGTAACATTCTATGGAAACGTTCACTCGTGTTGGTTCGGGTCGGCACGGAGCGCGCGTTACGTGCGGTTTCCGTAAATTGCTACGTGCGAACCCGGCCGATCCGCGTCGCGCACGATGTACATACTCGTCGACGTGACGGCGTCGGTTATCCTTAAGATGCGATCCCGCGAAAAAAAGCGCCCCTCGCGCACAAGTTGGCACGCCGAGCCGCGGGGGAAATCGACTGCCGGAAAAATCGCCGCACGGAAATCGCACGTGGCCGATGAAAGCGGCAGAGAAAATGACGTTTCGTGCACGTGCGAATTATGCATCGCGTATGATTATTATGCAAAAATTGCTAAAGAAAAATTGGAAACGCATGAGGATGTTCCGCCGATGGGATCATGCTTGATCTCACGAATAGGTACATTCGGCGCACAATAAGTAATTAGCTGATTTAAATAATGCACGTAATAATTATTTGGAAAGTTCACGGCGATGTACGGTAGCAGTTCTAGAGGGATATTGATGCGCAGTTTAATTGCAATAGAGAGGGATTACTTTGAGAATTACATATCTATTATAAACTAATTATTGCTATTGGGTAATACTTATTTCGTCGTACGGTGGAAAATATTAAATGCAAAAGTCACTACGTTCAGAAATTAATTTTTTCAACATTTTTTTATTTATTACCCCTAATATTCTGGAAAATGCAATGTTTTTTATATATACAAGTTGTATAAAAGTTGAAACTTTCTTCAGATTGAAATTATATATTGAAGATAATCTGCATCTTCTTACAACTGAGTAACTAGTAGGTACTACCTGTTATAGAGATAAACGAACCTATACTTTTATTAAATCACAAAATCATTGTAGCTAAAAGCTATACTTATCTTAAAAAGTAAACAGAACTATACATGCTTAGTTATATTTAACTAAAAAAGTGAAGCTATAAGATATACTTATATCCCTTGTATTCGAAACTTTCCTTAATTCATTGGTCTATAGAAATTGATTTATATACAACGCAAATAAAAGTAAATATCAATAAATGTAAAAATACAATTTAATTATTAAATATGCATATATAATAGAAATAAGTTATATGAAATATGACGGAAGAAAAAGAAAGATTCTTTCCAATAATCACCTTCCCACCTCATGTTGAGATTTAGGTTATTATGGTAAGAGAGTGAATCGCTTCGCGGTTACCGCATAATGAATTAAAATTACTGGTTGCGGCGACCAGACTTAAACACAAAGCATCGCTTTAAAGGCAAGAATTATTGTAATTACAACAATTTATTGTTACGGGGTACAGGCAATAGAGCAGAATATTGGTGTTCAATGGATTGATGGCGCTATCTAGCGATGTCTTTCTCAAGCATGTACATCAAATGGTCTAACTGGCGACATCTTGAGCTCCAATATGAGATACTCTATAATTCCGTTGAATTTCTATTCATCGGTATTTTATTTTAAAATAAAATAATATTTTTATATTGTAAATTTAAACAAATACTTGCGTTACTTAATTACATTTATGCGCGTTAATATCTTACGACATTATTATCTAATCCATTTTAATAGAAAATGTTACAAAATGAGAAAAATACCCAAATAGAACAACAAATCACGACAACGTCAAATTGATGTTAAAATAATCGTTACTGACTAAAAAGTAACTTTTATTAATCAATTTGTAGTCATTTTAACGTCATTTTGATATTATAATAATTTATGTTCTGCTTAGGATAAATTATGTCAAAACATAAATATAAAAGTTAAAAGATATGAATATTGAATTTTATAAATATGTGATAAATTAAGATAATCTGTGTTTCAAAAGTAAAATAACTTTTTTATTAAACTAATACAAAATGCACTAAAAAAGAAATGTTTCCCGAGACATTTCCAGAAAAGGAATCTAACATTTCCAGAGAAGAATCTGGCTTGAGGCTGAGGCTATTAATCTTTATATTTATCTATACAAGAATCGCAAGAGATTTTATCAACAGTGAAATGTGACAAACATTTATCCAATGATCTCAAAGAGAAGTCTGAGAATAAACCCGCGTTTTAGCCGTTTACTGGCATTTCTGTGTGCATATAGAGGGAAGCTTAGACATGCCGGTATTTCTAATGGAACCTGTTTACTGGCGCCTCACAAAACGTGCACATGGAGAACTATGTAACCACGGATATTTCGGCAGGTAACATATCCACGATCTTTAAATTTGTTCTCTGTTTGTACACAAAATATAATTACGTAATATTGAACAGTGCAAAACAAAAATAATAATTGAAAATTAGAATAATTTAAATTTAAAAAAGATATAAAAAGTGTGAAATATTCGCAATAATAATAATAATTGGAGTTATTAATGTAATTTAACTAAAAAATATTTAAATAAAATTTGTCTTTAGAGATGTAGTTTAATTTCTATTTCTTATGATTTAATAATATAGTAATATAATCAGTTCATAAAAGAAGATCGTACGTATTTATATAAATAATCTTTGAATAGAATAGATATTAAATGTAATCCAGAGATATCTTTGATGAAAATATATTTATAAAAAAACAAATAAAGTCAGCTTTTTATTGAAACAATCATAAATTATTTAACGTAATTCAAAATAATTTTATATCAAATAAAATCTGTTATTTATAATTAAAAATTATGCGTACAATCTGTCCTGTATTCCACGGACTCGATTTCACCTCGATATGTTACATACTCGGTGTCCATAATTTTAAACTAATTGGTTAATTTGACATCCAAGACATTACCGTGTCTCTTGATTGACGGTTTATGTACGTTTCTCAAAACTTTAAATTGATCGACAAGTTGCAATTGACAGCCAAAAAATTGAAGCGCTATATGAGATTAATTTTTATAAAAAATATTTATCAAAGTTTGGGAGTTTTTAATTAAATATTTTATAATTTAATAAAATTTTATAATCTATTTACGTTTGCGTTTACAATAAAAAGTAATCGTGTAAAAAATTGCTTTTAATATGTGTTTCCATAAAAACGCTATATTAATAATTATAAGAATAATTATAATATATTAAAACACCTGATAATTTTTTACATTTTTTAAATGGTTTGAATTATTTTATAATTTTTATCTTTTATTTATTTTTATTTTTATTTAATTTAGTTTTTATGCAATTACTAATATTTTGTCGACATATTACGGAATTGAACTATATACGTAACACGGAAGAAAATCAGAGACTGTACATTTTACTCTTTAGATATGTCCATGTTTATCCTCCAGACATATCCATGACTATACAGATTAACGTGCATGTGTTGTGCATATAAATGCTCTAATAAATAAGTTCCATCTAAAACTCGTGCATGTCCATTCTCAAGCTTCTCTCTTTGCAGGTATTAAAATGATTCCTTATCACAGTTCAGTCCACCTACGCTTGAATATCTCATGTCTGAGAAATAATCACATGTCCATAGGATTTTGCTCTCTCATTAATGATAACCGTTTTCACCTCGTACAAAGTCTAAGCAGTTTCTAATAAGAAACGATGCTCACGATCGTGATAACCGGAGGTCACCACGCATTTATTATAACAAAAACTATATTTTATCTATGAATTGCCTACCATTTTCTTATTTATCAGTATCTGTCTGTTGCATATCGCTCATCACATTAAACGATGCCTCGCGGTGTTACGTGCAGTGCGTCTTGAAATTATTTGTCGGGGAATATACATTTATGTATATATAACTATACTTTTCTTTACTAAAGGATTTCCATTTGATGTCTGCAAACATTATCCTTGTTTAACATTTGATAAACAACAAAAATGAAATAATTTCACCAGCATTGTGAACGTAAATGGAACTCAACCTAAATATTATGTCGATTTTCAGTTGTTACATGCATGTTTTTGGGAATATTATAGAATATTATTATTTGTCGCACGACTGACGCGAAGGTAAGGGGATTCGCATATGCAATTTCAGCGAACAACTGTCGCGCAAGTTGCCATGCATCGAAAAAGTTGGTCTCTTATAAGTATGGGTTTGATTGCGTCGTACCAATTTTCCATAAGTCGTGGAAATTACAAACGCCCGTAAAAACACAGTGTATCAGATTAAGCAAAATGCATACAGAAGGAGGGGACGGCAAAAAATTTTGTCTGCAATTTTTGCAACTGTTTCTATCTTAGTCTATAATTCCGATGTGAGAATATGTTATTGTATTAGGCACGCAAGTATTTTTCCTTTATTTTTTTCTTATAGTTAATTAATTTTACTTTATTACTTTTTTGTTAATAATATTATATTTATATTATATTTATATTTTATATATTTATATTATATTTATCATTAATTATGATAGGTAAAAATCTTAATTTAAATACTAAGAATTTTATTAGTAAACGAAGTATAAAATTAAAGATATTATATTATTGTAATTACATCTAAAATGAAATGTCTTTTTGTATAAGATACATAACATGCTAGTAATACAAAAAATAATATATAAAACATAATATATACTACAAAGTTAATTGTAATGAAAAATTGTATTATAGTTAGGTTTTTTTATTCAGGATACTATAGGAACAAGAGAAGGAAAAATAAAATTTTTTAGATTTCATTGCCTTCGGATAAATATTCTTACATTGATAAGAACAATCAGGAAAATTGTTTAATTATGAAATATACAATATTATTAATCTGCTAGACAATTGATATATTTTCTACAAATTGTCAAATTTTGCTAATACATTGTACATTATTGTAACTTGAAACAAATTAAGTCTTACAATTAGTTTATAAGATTGATTATTTATTGAAATCTCCATTTGGTGCAAAAAAATTGAAGAAGGATGAAGCCACTTAATATTTATGTATTTATTAGTTTTAATTATTTTCCGTCACCATATAATAATAAAAGCCGTATATTATTTAACTTCTTCAAAGCGACAAATAATTTCTGGGTTTTTGTTATTTTGCTTGTGTGATTGTTGATCCAGTCCTTTTCTTCCTCTGCCACACTTCATTTTCGATGCTTAAATTAATTAAATAATTATGAATAAAAAAGTTTTAAAATTATTACATAAAACTCAATAAGCATGTTTCAAACAAACATCTCAATCTTATAAAAAATATATATATACATAACATATATATGTATATTCTAATAAATTATAATATTTTTTAAGTATTAAATTATATCTATATTAGCAAATTAAATATTTTTCTCCACAATTTGATTTCATAAAACTTACTCATCGCTACCATCTCTTGAATATCCAGCTAATGCTCGCCACAGTTCTTTTGGACCTTCGATTGCTAGAGGAAAGTTCTGCCAGGACCATTCTTCAACTGACAAGAAAAAACAAGGCGTAGGATTATTCAATTAGATATAATACGACGAAATATATCAATGTAATTGCTGACCTTTCGAAGGATAATCTATGCGCCTTTTAGTTAAATCGGAGTAAGTTTCCTGTTCGTCTTGCAGCAATAGAGGGTTGGTTGACTTAAAAAATGCAATTCAGGAATTATTTAGTATAATTATTACATAAATGACATCTCAAAAATATACAATAATACAAATATATACAATAATACAAAAAAGATTGCAATAATTACGTTAGTTCCAATAGATACCTGTTTGTGCTGATTGCTTCTACCAATTCGGGGTATATGCTTTTCAGCTTTATAAAAGAAATCTTCAAATCTTCCGCTTCGACCTACTCTCGGCAAAGTTGGTATTTTGGCGATTTTCAAGAAGAATGCTGGTACTTCTTCCGCAATTGTGGTATTTTCGCATATTAATAACATGACGGCTCCAACGAGAAAAGCTGAATATTTGTTTCACAACAAATAATATTGAATATTTAAATATTTAAATATTTAAATAGACAAGGCATTATTTTTTCGATGTATTATAATTAGACAAGCACTAAACATACATATATCATCTTTGCAAATTTATACGACATGTAAAGATATTATTTAATTTACCATTAAAAAAGACACCTCCGATCCGTCGAGCACACAACCTCTGCAGTATCATTTCGAGAAAGTAACAATTCAGTGCCTGTAATAAATCAAACGCAGTTCAGTTTTCAAGAGCAACTTCACCCTTTGCACATCACATCGCTTTAGAACCAGACGCAACAATTAATTTAACAGGTGAACGTGTTTCAATTGACGTGGCATTCTCGATCGCAGTCGACACGTAAATGACTGCCATAGAAATCTGCCGATTCTCGCGGAAAGGATGCGCGTCTCGCGAGTATTCGGCGAACACTGAGCGATTTTTCGCGTACATACGGCTTCTTCCATTATCGCGAAGAGTGGACCGGAGTGCTCAAGGATTGTGGGCGAAGGAGAATCGACGAGAAGTTTGCACGTCGTGAAACCTCATCGTATTTGAATCACGCTGACTGTTTGTCCTCGTTCGCGTAACACGCACAGAAATATTCAACCGCGCACCCGTGCGAGTAAGATGCATTCTATAGAACTGATGCCTCGTAGGATGTTACGGGAAATGTTTGACGCTATGCAATTCCATGAATAGAAGTAAATAAAGAATTTCCGTAATCGCCAACGCGCGATCGAACGTCTTCAGTGAGAAATTGGAAATTCTACATGTAGATACTTAATTTTTTCGGATAATAGAAAGCAACGGCACTGAAAATTAATTTATGGAATAATCTTGATCTTAAAAATAATTTTTTATAAATAATTGTAATTTCAGATAGTTAATTAGAAATATATAATAATAGCTATTTTACAGTTACAAGCGCTACGAATAAAAATATCTATTTTAACTGTTAAACGATTTGTTTTAAAATTCTGTAAAGAGCATATATTATATATTCAGAGATATGATATTTGCTCGTCTCTTTGAAAACCACAAGAAAGATATTGGTTATTCTAATTTAATATCACGGAGATATAATGATAAGAACTATAGATTTTTTGTAAAAATTGAAATTTAATAGAAAGATAGATTCATAATAACAAATCGACATAATAACGAATATTATATAATAATATTTCCTTACCTGAAGATAAACTGAATGCAATGAACTTAATTCCATTAGGCTCAGCGTATTTATACTTGATTGAGAAAGAGTAATTAAATATTTAGTTCATGTACGTCCTGTAAATTAACACCAATGTCTTTAACAGTACTGAGAATAAATTTCTCGGCTGGCTTTTATCAGCGGAATATATATCGTCCACAAGTGAAATATCTCATACTTTAATTTGATATAAATTCTTAACAAACTCTAAAAGAAAAATCATTTTTGTGCATTTTAACATACGATGTCATTTACATATAACCAATTTACTGCAGAATATGATTATTGCTACATTACTTACTTGAAAATAAAATTTAATATTGTAAAAGCAAAATTTCTTTATCAACAGGATTTTGTTACTGCAGTTGAATACTTATAAGTAGAATATTTATGTATAGTACATAAAATATTGTACATATATTTATAAAGTGAGAAAATCAAATATGTGTCAATACTTTTGCGATTGTCTCGTATTACATGTTTTTTCAGCAGTAGACAATAGACAATAACCCTTATTCGAGCAGGTGAATGGCACGTGCTTTCCATATCAAATTGCTTCTAATTTATATTTAACTGAATTGCAATGAACTCTTATAATTATTCAAATTACTCAAATTAAACATTTCGTTAAATACTATATTACTTTAGATATTAGACTATTTAAAAAGTTTTAATCGGTAATTATTTTATTACATAATTGTCACAATATTACTGTGTAATAACTTAAATGAAAATAAAAATAAATATTATATATCATTATAGTTAGTATTATAAAATAAATATTAAACCTTTAACATAAAACCGACAATATAATAAATTTTAACTCTTCCGTCAGCAATAAGAGTTTTTGGGAAACAAATTTTTTATTGTTTCGGATATAAAAATCTAAAGAAATTCTAATATACTTGTCAAAAACAACGAGTTTTTATCATTTTGGAAGCCGGACTATTTTATTTTTTTTTTTTACAAATTTAAATTTAACTATCAAAGTATTAATAGCTTTTAAAGATTTTAGTTGCCTGCTAAGGGTTAATTGATTTTTTTATGTCTTTTTTTACGTAATGAAAGATAGAAGGCAAAAATAATTAAAATACTATTTTTAGCTCCTGAAATCATAATACTTTATTTGAGATACTTTTCATAAATAAAGCTAGATCGTGAAAGCTTAAACCATCGTAATTACAATATTGTTTATGTATAAAGTTACAATTAAATATATGACGCGTAATGAAACGATTATTGATAGAAGACAATGTGACGAACTTTCAAGCGTTTGATTGCAGGTACTTTACAGGAGTCGGTTAGTTACATTGTTTCATGAGTCGATCAGTTAGCGAGAATCATGGATTGTCTCGGTCGGTTTTTCATCTTCAGTTGGATTCTTGACGAGACAGCCAAGCGGTACAGGTTTCACTGGCGACTTCGCAAATCGCTGATAGACCGCGGGTGGTAATTTCATAATCTAAAAAGAAAAACAATTTATTGATTATCTTTTGGAAAATAAGAAAAAATAATCAGTCTTAATTTTCAATTGACGCAATAAAATTCTGTAAACTGCAGTTATTTGTAAGCGAAAGGTATTTTAAGATTGATAAAATTCTTCGAATAATTTTTAACGTAAAAAGAAATGTAAAACGTATCAGATGAAAGTTTGAGGTACAGGAAATATAGATCTGATTTAAGTATTTTATATATATAATATGGAATATAATAAAAATATAATAATTGATATTCTAATGTATAAACCATTTAACAAATGGAGTTAGTTTTATCTATTTATGTTAAATATTAAAGTTTAACATAAATTTATTTCAAGCTTTAAAATTTTCTTTATAAAATTAAATTTTGTTATAAATATTTTATAAAGGTACTTACCAGTCACAGTGTTAGATCGTTTGCCGAATATGCTACCGTTGAAAGGTGGTTTTTTATAGGCAGCGTTCGCACTGATGACGAAGGCTACCATGATAACAGCGATAGTCAGGATAAGGCGAATGGAAACCATGTCGATGCGTTGGTCTATTTTCGTCTGAAATAAAAAATGAAGAATTTAGTGAATATTTATAATAATTATTTACTGTAAATAAATCATCAGTTTTATAATTGAAAATAAATAATAATAATAAATTTTAAAAAAGTTTATAATAAATAAAATACAATGTAGAACGAAAAAAGCTTACTCTTCTGTGAAAGAACGAAAAGAACTTGCGTGATTCTTAGAAGATTCGGACGCTGAATGTTACGAACGACGCAAAACTGTGAGCTTTTATACTCAGGGAAATGACTCGAAGACAAATGTCTCTATCAAACGCAGTCAACCTACATTATTTGCAAGTAATGTCACAAGTTCGTCCAAGAGGGTATTGATTTATCATAAAATATCAAAATTCGTAATAACTGACGATGACCAATTTGTGTATAAAAATAGCATATAAAGTCACGCTATGAAATTAAAGAATTATTGAAAAATCAGAAATACTTTAGTTTGTAAAATGATAGATTCGTTCAAGTATTTAGGAAATCTATATACAGAAGAAGAAAAGTACATAATGTGAAAATAAGAAAGATTATATAAATTTATATTTATTTATAATTATTATAATTAAAAGTGACGTTTTCACCTGAATGAACGGGATGTATCCGAGAGACGATACTCGACTGATGCCTCTTCGATGGTTGAAACGGCTTTTATAAGAGAGTAGTCTATGTTCTAAGAATGTAGTACGTGAAAAAGATAATAAACTATCAGAAAGTATAATGTGATTAAAGACCATCCTGATTGCCTTTTACTTCAGGGAAATAAAGATTTTTCGAACGTATTACATAGACCATATATTGCGGAAAAACTTAATAAAGTATCATAGTTTAAGATTAATATCTACTTTTATTTAACACTACAGTTTTTATTAAACAATTATATTAGAATACTTTACTGTAAAGTGCATTATTAATAGAAATTTAAGTTTTATTATTTTATTACTTATGAGCTTTTGGATAATAAAAAGTATAGTTTTTTTTATGATTTATAAGAAAGTTTAAACAATATGTTTATTAAAAAAGTAATTTTCTAATAATTAATTTTTTTTAACATCGACATCTAATATGATGTAAATGTGATGTAATATGATATAAATATTAGTTAAAGGAAATATGAAGAATTGCAAATTGTTGAAACTATTTTTTAAAAAATTATCTTCTAGGTACAATGTACGTAATTTTGATAAAAAGAATAAAACAAATTATTGATTAGTAGAATAGGTAGTTGGATAAAATAAAATTCTCTTTTTAAAATTTAATTTTTTAAATAATATTAATAAATGGTATATAAAATATCTATATCTATTGTTAATATAACATCTCTTTTCAGAGTTAGTGATCTAATTTGAAAGTCCTAGGACTTATACCCTTCATAGATAAGTTATCATCGATGAAGTACTGTTACTTTTCCTAAGTATGATATTCTCATCGCGTCGGTCGATAAAAGACTTTACTATATTTTCAGCATATGATATAATAATCAGAATTTTCAATATTAATTTTTCATTGTAAACAAAAAAGATTATTTATTTAAAAAAGTTAAATAAAAATTATTTTTTAAATTAACATTGTCGTAAATTTGTTATATTATTAGTCACAAGATACTTCAATTTTTGTTAAAAAAAGGTATAATATTAAAATAATAACAGAATTCTTTAATTTTGTTATAAAAAACACATTTATTATTATATAATTAAGTATATACATTAAACTTTTACGACATTTATGTATATAATTAATAATATTGATTAATATAGATATAATTAAAAAAGTTATGTTTTAAAAGGAGTTGAATTATCCGTATGAGTCAATGCATGAATATTTTAAGCAGTTACTTTATTTAATTTGAAAATCTTTTAAGATAATAGCGTTTTGTTTGTATAACGCTATGTCATATGTTAGTTACAAAAAGTGTATGATTGTTGCAGATTATATAATTATAATATACATGTATAAAAATATGAGAGAAGGTTAATACGACAACATTGTATCTTTCTTTTGTCACTATAATATATGCAATAGAGTAATAATAGACTAATACGAATATTTATATAAATATAATTATATAAATATAATTAATATACGTATAATATACAATTAAGTAATTATATAAATAATTACATATACATTATAGTATAAGATAATCAATTATTAGAGCCAAATTTAAT